TCCTGTGCAGCTTCATCTTAGGTTCTGCTAGCTGCTTTTGTTGGAAGGAGGGAAACTGTTGGGGGAGGAGGGTAGCAGACCTAACTTTAGGGAAATTTTGAAATTTATTTTTTGTCTTGGTGTTCCTCTCTTTCACTACCCACTCTGTTTTTTGCCCCATTTCTCCCTGGGAGTTTACCTATTTAGAAAAAACATTGGTATTACCACCAATGATTTACATTACTACCAATGATTTACATATCATTGAACTATTATTGAGCACCTGCCATATGCTAGACCCCTTGCCAGAATCAGTGAGACTTAGTTTTTGACTTCAAGGAGTTCACTGTCTAACGGGCAACAGAATCAAATAAATACATATTTGCGAGGAAGAATGATTAATGCTATGTTAGAACACAGAGTAGAGGCTACTAACTCAGCAGTAGTGGTTGGGGTTGGAGTGAGGTTACAGTCCAGAGACTTGGCAGGGGGTGTGATGGCAGCACAGCCCTATTCCTGACAATGTTAACAATGGGAAACTGCCTCTTCATTATAGAGGTCACAGCCTTCCAGCAGGAAGGCCATTCTCAACCCAACACCTTCTTTGGCAGGGCCCGAAAGTGTGTGGCATTTTTATTTCCTCTGATATTTTTCCTCCATGTGCGTTGTTCTTTGGCAGCTGGACAAATGCTTCTTTATCTGCAGCTCTTCAGTCATGCCTTTCAACATCTTAAAATAGGAGATGCCCCTGCTTCCTTTTTCTTCATTCTCTACCAGCCAGCATTTTCCCAGTATGGACTTCAGTGATACGCACATGAAGGAGAAATGAGACTTGCCCTTGAGGAGCTCACAGTTTAATGAGGGGAAACAGACATTAAATCAGTACTGTAAGGTATTGTGATAGAAGCATACAGAGGGACAGGAAAGTCTGGGGCCGGCCTGGTAGTGCAGCGGTTAAGTTCACACCTTCCACTTTGGGCGGCCTAGGGTTTGCTGGTTTGAATCCCAGGTGCGGACCTCCACACTGCCTATCAAGCCATGTGTGGTGGCATCCCACATAAAATAGAGGAAGATGGGCACAGATGTTAGCTCAGGGCCAGTCTTCATCAGCAAAAAGAGGGGGATTGATGGCAGATGTTAGTTCAGGGCTAGTCTTCCTCAAAAAAACAGAAAGCCTATAGCCTCATAGTCACCTCTTTTGTATAAAGATCCTTTAGGTAACCATTGTTTAAATAGGTTAAATAGTTTAAATTGTTTAAGTAGTTCTTTGATGTCTAGAAATGCAAAATTGAGCACAAAACTAAATTTTATTATTTACTATTTGGCAGACTATTAATTATCACTTATGAAAAATTTGTTTATGCAGTGTGCTTGACAGTGTATTTCCAACAGTGGTATCCTTCAAATTAACAAGATTTGGAGAAGTTTTCTAGAATCAGATTGTGAGTTTCAGAGTGAGATCTTTCTTGTATATGTCCTAAGGTTACAGATGTTTTTCTTTTGTTAGAAATAAGGAAAAGGCAGAAAATCTGACAAGAAATCTGTAACTCCTAAAGAAATTTAGGGGCCGGCCCGGTGGCACAGCGGTTAAGTTTGCACATTCCGCTTCTCGCTGGCCCGGGATTCGCAGGTTGAGATCCTGGGTGCGGACATGGCACTGCTTGGCAAAAGCCATGCTGTGGCGGGCGTCCCACGTATAAAGTAGAGGAAGATTGGCATGGATGTTAGCTCAGGGCCAGTCTTCTTCAGCAAAAAGAGTAGGATTGGCAGTAGTTAGCTCAGGGCTAATCTTCCTCAAAAAAAAAAAAAAAAGGAAAGAAAAGAAATTTCAAGTTTGGTTGGTTAACCAGCAAATTGTACCAAACATTTAAAGTAGGCATAACACCAATCTTACAGAAACTCTCCTAGAGAATAGAAAAAGAGAGAACACTCCGATTCATTTTCTGAGGCTAGCATAATCTTTGTAACAAAACTTGACAGAAAAGACATTAAAAAACTGGAAAATAACAGCTAATCTCATGCAAGAACAGATACATAAAGATCCTAAACAAAATATTAGCAAACCAAATCCAACAAAATATAAAAAGGGTAATACAGTAAGACATGATTTTATTAGGAATGTCAAGTGAGTTTAATATCTAAAAACCAATCAATGTAATTAAAACATTAATAGGAAAATTATATGATTATCTCATAAATGCAGAAAAATTTGATAAAATGTCCATTTATGATAAACTTTTAACAAATTAGAAATAAAAATGAACTCCCTTAATTTACTAAAGGGATGTACACAAAACCTACTGCAAACATCATACTTAACTGAAATGTTGAATGTTTTCCAGTTTTGGAGGAAGACAAAATTGTCTGCTCTCCCATATCTACTTATTGCTGTAGTAGAGGTCTAGCCAGTGCACTAAGACAAGACAAAGAAAAGGAAAATGTGTTGGAAAGAAAGAAATTGAATGGTCATTGTTTTCTGCCAACAGGATTGTATGTATAGAAAACTCAAAAGAATGAAGCTAAACCATTAGAATTAATAAGTATATATAAAACCTAGAATAAACCTAAGTACAAAAATGTGCAAGACCTCTACAGAAAACTGGAGCATTATTGAAGAAATTGACTCAGGTAAATAGAAAGATGCATCTTGTTCATTGATTGAAGATTCAGTATTGTAAAGATATCAATACCCCCTAATTCATCTCTAGATCCAATGCAGCCCAATAAAAATCTCAGCTGTTATTCCCACGTGTTAGAATGGTAGGACACCATGGTAGACAATCCCAGTGACCGGACACATCTGGTGGAACTTCAGTATTTTCCTATTGGGTAAGCAATGTATTGGTATATTTTTATTTAGAAGCAAGGGGATTTAAATGACTTGGGTGCCTAAGGAAGTTTTTAGTAGTCATTCACAGTTTTTGCTTCTATCATGAAAACCAATTTTAAAAGGCAGTCTTGGCACCAGAATTTTCAAAAAGCTCTTGCCACAAGCAGCTACTTTTCTTATAAGTGCTGTGCTGTCCCCCAGCCACGTGTGGCCATTTAAACTGATCCTGGTCAATTCATTAGTTGCACTAGCCCCTTTTCAAGTGCTCAATAGCCACATGTAGCTAGCGGCTCTCTTTGGCATGGTGCACATGTTGAACATCTCCATCGCAGCAGAAAGTTTGATTGGACGCCTCTCCAACAAGGCTTCCCGCCTTTTTGCACAGGCAATAAATTAAAAATAAATATTACGTGGGCTGGGATTGAGCAACTGCTCTGGGATAATTTACCTTCTGCCTCATTAGGCTGTCAAAAGTGGCCCACCTTAAAGCCTATCCCACTCGTTGGGTGTTTCTTAGCAGGGTTCCAGATTTTCTGGTGAAGAAAATCAATTAGAGAAGAAATTGCAGTACAAATTTCAAACTACCCAACTTTAAGGTGTGGGAGCACTGTTTACATCTAGGCAGACTTCTTGGGTTAAGCTCTAAGGGCCTGATTAGCTAATCTTAATTATTTGAGAAGAGTTCTCAAGGAATTTGCCTCACAAAGGATTGGGTGAAGCCCAGGAGGATTCAGGTAAGCGCAAGGGTTAAGGAACCCTGGAGGACTAGAACGGACTTTTGCTGCTGAGATTCAGCACTTGAGGAATCTGACTCATGATTGGACAGCTCCCAAACGGTAATTTCCCTCCCCTTTCCCAATTTTTTTCTCCTTTTCCCCCTCTCACATACCCCATATCCAAGTATAAAGGAAAAGCTGTTTCAGGGTGGTCTGTATTATGTAAGGAAGCTTGTTGTAGCTGACATTCTGCTGGAAGATCTGTAATGCTGGGTGAATCCACAGCAATAGAGGGGGAATTGTGAGGGATTCAGACGTTAGAAATAGATTACATTGGATGCAATGCATCTAAAGGTGTGTTTTGGACTTATGACTGTACCATGATATGAAAAAAGATTAAAAATTTGCATGTAATCATCTCCAAACTGGCTGCTTTGGAAAATTGACAGAGAGGGCTTTGAGGGAACAGTCAGCTAGATAACAGGGCCACATAATGGGGGTGTGGGGCTGGGTGAAGCACTGTGTTCACAGGAGCCTGTTACCTCATTCTAGCTTCTCTTTGTCCAGAAATTGTAAAAGCCTGTGATGTTACTGCTGGAACTTTGATTCAGCAGTTCCTAAGCACCTCCTGTTGGTTTCAGGCTGTAGGTTTGGACTTTGGGATTACAGAGCCAAAAACAAGAGTCCCAGTGCTCGGTCTGATAGGGGAGACAAATGTACACAAATAATTACCATAGAGTGTTACTCATACGTAGAGGTTCAGGGGGTCCTGGAACATCGTTCAGTCTGATTCCTTAATTTTCTACTGGAGGCCCCTAAGGTACAGAGCGGGAAGGAGACTGGTTTAAATAATGCCAGAAGAACTAGAACTTGAGTTTTTTGTTGATTGGACCACCCTAAAATAGGATCACCATCCTTGAAGACATTATCTAATTCCTATCTGCTTCAAGCCCACTTTTTCCATAATGTCCCTTTGACTGCCCTCCTTTCCTCCGATACCACTCAAGTATCTTTTCCTTATATTTATTGTGCTTTTATGGAAGGTCTTACTTTGTCTTTTGGATCTTGAACGTGATCAGGACAGGCACCGAGCCGGCTTCGGTCTTCGTACCTATCTCGTTTCCCATCCTCAGCACAGTCTGAATAACTGTCAGGTTTAATTAAGCCTTAGAGTCGGACTTGGGTCCAACCTGCTTGCTCCATTGTGAGACACCTTGGACTAATCACCTCCCTCTACATCAATAAGAATTCCTACCCCTCGGGCCACGTGATTACGTATTATATTGTGAACTGAGTGAGGTTTCGTTGCTGAGTTTTGGAGGTGGGAGACACGGACCAGCAGCAACAATTTAGGGAGTTGTACGACTTGGGAGCTGCGGCCTTGCCGGCGCCGGGCGGGGGCGGGGCTGGGCTGCACAGGGCGCCGCGCCACGGCTCTGTTGCCGGAACTAGCCCGAGTCGCGCGCCGCGCGCAGTTCCGCCGCGCCGCCTCCCCGCGGGGAGGAAACAAAGGGGGCTCGGCGCGCGGAGCCCGGTCGAGGGCGGAGTGGCTGGCGGGCTGGCGCGCCGGGCTCGCTAGGTTTGTTCCGGCGAGGGGGCCAGTCGGGGCAGCCCAGAAGCGAGAAGCGGGAGGACTGCGTGCTCGCGCATCCTGCGGCCTAGCGGCGAGGGGCGTCGTCTGCGCGCGCAACGGAGGGCAGTGCGCCGGCGCGGCGTGTCCGGTCCGCGAGCTCCGAGCGGGGTGCAGCGGGGCGGGGCCCGGCCCCTCCTGCGGCGGTGAGGGCAGGTGCGGCGGCCCAGGCGGTTAGGGCTCGGGGGCGGAGAGGATGGAGCCCCCGAGGCGTTAGCTGACTGTCAGCTGTGGGCGTGCAGCCGTTGCTTCCTGGTGCGGCCCGTGTGATGGTGCCGGGAGGAAGGAAGCGCCGTGACAGCGCCTTGGTCGGAGCCCGGGTTCCGTGGGTGAGGTGGCCCGGGGACGACGGATCTGGCGAGCTGGCCGCTGGCTGGGCGAGCGGTCACAATAGGAGGCAGCGGATCGGCGAGGAGCCGCGGGAGCAGCTTCGCAGGGCGGAGCCTCCCCTCGCAGGTACGGGTCACCGCGGCCGTTGGTTCCCGCGCGAGGGCGGGACAGGCCGAGCTGCAGGCCGTTGGGAGCCTGCGGGGCCGCGCCCGGCGCCCGGGCGGAGGTGTGGTTGCCCGGTGCTCGGCGGAGCGCGGCCTGGCTGCCCGGCGCTCTTTGTTCCCGGGGCGGCGGCGTGGAGGTGCGGGCGCAGCGGGCGGGAGTGCCGGCCGCCGCTGCCGCCTGGCAGATGGCCTCGCCCCCTCGCTCCCGCCCCTCTCGCGGAGGCGCAGGTGAAATGATGTCACCCGGGAGAACGCGGAACCCGGTGGGAAGGATCCGCTCTCGCCTTCTTGCTCGCCCGCGGGCTTCTGGACAGGCTGCGTTTTATTGTCGGGATGGAAGTTCTTCCTTTCAGGGCTGAAGAATGAAAGAGGTTGGTTTTGAACCGGTTTTCTCAAATTATTGAGGGCTAAGAGAGTAAAGTTTTTGTTTCCATGTGTAGGGCTTGTTAGGGACCTCGCTTTTTCTTTTTGCTGCAAAAATGATGTATACTCTTATTCAGTATAAGTTGGGTATGGTAATTCTTTCACCATGAATAGAAATGAGTAGTCTGTGGATTGCCATTTTTTCCTTACGTGGCTCACTTAATGTTCGAAAATTTAAGTGTCTGCCACTTATACACAATCAGTTTGTTGCCTCAGAATTGCAAGCCTTTTTGGATCCTGTTTGGCCTTCATTGCAGATACTGTTGTTAACACATTTACCACAAAATTCCTTTAAATAGTCAAGCTGCCCTGGTATCTAGACTTAAACTAAAAAAAATAAAATCTATTCGCACAGTTTTTATGAAATCAAAATAAGAAGGTAGGGGCGATTGGAATCAAAGTAAAATTGTTCCTGTTTTTGGAAAACACAGTCTAAGAAAAGGGGCTTCTGTAGAAGTAACAGTACAAGAGTAAATACAGGTCTCAGATCGGTTGCATCGAAGCTAGGATGTGCTTGCAGCCAAAAGATGAAATCACTAACTGGATTTTTTAAGTGGGAATTGTATCACACTTCCCATTCCCCTTTCTCCAATTCTTACTGGCGTCTAAATTTATTGGCGTAATATATTTCACTTTTTGAAAACCTATTAAATCTTAAATGTATTCATTATGTGGCTTAATTTTTAAGTTGATTTCTGTAATTTTCTGTAAGACATTTCTAAGAGATTTGGGAGCCTTTGGAGACCACAGTTAAGTAAGTTTTGCCACACACTTAGCCATGTGGGCCTCAGGTCCTCATCTGTAAAAGGTGACCCTTGGATTTAAATCATCTTTGTGGTCCCTCCATCTCTGATGTTTTCTGTGATTCCAGAAGGTAGTCTGTGTTTCTGGAGTTGTTGAGGTTTATATAACCATCCTGATGGTATAGCCAGACTGAGTTGGCGAGTATTAATCTGAGTAAGTGTTGAGAGTTTTCTCTACTAGAGCAACCTGATTTTTGAGGAACGGTGCATGGAGGATGGCATAGTTAGACAGAACTGAACCTGTTAGCATCATAATGGAGAGTGTAGCTCGATTGTCTCTCTGCCTGGAGCTTTGGATGAGGCTTTCAATTACATCTCCAGGCTCTATTTGCACTCATTTTTCACTTTTTTTCTGAGGCTGTGGGTAGGAACTATGTGAGAAATCCTTAGATAAAGATCTCTGAAATGATCGATCAGTATGGAAAGATCAGTGGTCAAGATTGTGTCTTCTGCAGTCTGTTCCCTCTGTTTCTCTTTGTGCTGCCCCAGTTTTGTTTAGGCCACCACCATTTTCTAATTCATTTTGCTAGAAAGGTAGCTCTTGAGCAGTCCGCTGTGAAGTGCCTGGGTCTACTTAGTAGTTTTCTGTTATTTTGCTGTTAACCACATCTGTCAGGCATCCGTTCTCACTTCTCTTCTACTTGGGTTAATTCATCGCTTGCTTTGTTTTTCTCTGGAGAGAACATACTGATTGTAAACACATTTGAACCTTGTAGTTCTAGTCTCGTTCATTCATTCACCAAATGTTAAATTCCTCACATGGCATTGTCTCTCTAGAGATCAAGCAAATGCTTGAACTCTGTATAGTAAATTAACACGTGAGAACTTTGAGCAAATAAATGAAGAGGGGCCATTTATTTACCCCAACTCTTTGGTCTTTTCATGTTCCCTTTTTAAGGATCTGAAGACCTCACCTTCTCCCCTCCATGTTAGGGGGCCTGTTGTCCTATTTAGTTCCTGTTGAATTGCCCCTCACTGGATTGAATCTCTTGGAGGGCAAGGACTATTTTTCCCCCTTGTATTCACAGCATCTAACGCACGGTAGATGTACAATAAATATTTGAATTAATTATGATTTTTATTTAATAAGAATCATAAAGAGCTTGGTCATACTTCATCTTTTCAAATATGTATGTTTTTATATACATATAAAATTTTTGTATTAATTTGGCCTGGTCATGGTCTAGATAATTTACAAATCCGTGTAATTCCTAGAGAGAAATCTTGAAGAGATGCTTTAGAGCAATCTACTAAGAGGTTACTAGTCTAAGTAAAGTTGTTTTAGACATACTTCCTTGATGGGAGACTAATCTTCATGTGGGCAAATCTGGATTGTAGAAAGGAAGGAAAGGGAAATGTATTAAAAGACTGTATAAGTCTTGTTTTTCCTAACCTTTATGTGCACTCTCTTGATGCGTGTAATGCTTAGAGACTTCTTTAGTCGCATGTGCCTCCCTTCCCACCTCGCTCCCATTAGTTTATGGGGTTATGGTATGAGGAGAGGATGGTGGAGACTTGCAGCTATTTTCACCAACCCTGGTCCTGCTCTGTTCCCAGAAAGGTGTGGGCCCAGTTTGTTGTTTGCCTTAACTCAAGAATGGGAATAGTAGTTTATTTTTAAAAATGATTGTCCCATTGCTAGACGGTAATAATTCTACCCAGGTAGGTAGTACCAATCCTTGAATGCTTTTAACAGCTGCATAATATTCCACCAAGCACCTATACCATGATTTTACTTAGCAAATACTTATTTGTTAAACAGACCACTTCTAGTTCCCTTTAAATTGTTCCTTTTACTGTGCTGTGATGAACATATTTGTGCATATGGCTTTTCCCATATTTTGGAATATGACCTGAGAATTTATCAGATGAATAATTACTGATTCGAACTATTTTAATAAAATCTGCCTGATAACTTTGCAGGAGATTAGCATTTGCCATCATGGGAGCAGTGAGGATATTTGGATTTTTAGATAATTTGGGTTTGACTTCGTCATTTTTAGGATACTCAGACTTGGACCTAGAGGAGTAGGGCCTTATTTGTGTCAACACTCAGCACCTGACTCCTTACCTTTTGTTCTGTTTTCTCTCCTCTTCTATTAGACTTTGATTTGTGTGCTTTTGACCAGTTGGTATGCTGCTAGTAACAGTGAAGAACTTTTTCTTTCTTTCTTTCTTTTTTTTTTTTTTTGCTAAGGAGGATTCACCCTGAGCTAACACCTGTTGCAAATCTTTCTCTTTTTCTGTGAGCCATGGTCCACAGCATGGCCACTGGTAGACGGGTTGTGTAGGTGTGCACCTGGGAACTGAACCTGGGCCACTGAAGCTGAGTGCGCCAAGCTTAACCACTATGCCACCAGGGCTGGCCATGAACAGTTTTTTTTTCTGGAGTATATTGTGGCCATTTGGGGGGAAGGCTGTTAATTAGGGTCTTTGAGAATATTATTTTGCAGGAAGTAAATTATTTAATACTGGCCTAGAGGTCATGCACCTGCACATCTCTACCTTGCCTTTATGAGGAGAATGTAAATGAGTGAAGAAGGAAGCCATCATCAGAAACAGTTTTGGGGAAGCAAGTTCTGAGGCACTATCTGGACCTAAGTCCTACATTATTTTCACACAATAGCTGATAGTAGTTACTACATCCTCCAAGACAAAGGGTAAATTGTTGGTTATATGATGGTTACCAAGACAGGGAAAGGCCACATTAAACAAAAGATGTCCTAAAATAGTAGTTTGTTGGTGCTTGAAAGGTTAAACTGTTTTCTTTAACTTTTGTCTTGTAAAATGGTACTTTTCTCAGTTATGCTGGGTGAATTGTCATACAGTTATATGTAAATAAACATTAAAAATGAGAAATGTGGGGGGCCTGCCTGGTGGCATAGCGATTAAGTTTGAACACTCTGCTTTGGTGGTCTGGGGTTCGCAGGTTCAGATCCCAGGTGCAGACCTACACACCACTCATCAAGCCATGCTGTGGCACTGTCCCATACACAAAATAGGGGAAGATTGGTACCGACGTTAGCTCAGTGACAGTCTTGCCAAGCAAAAAGAGGACTGGCAACAGAGGTTAGCTCACGGCCAATCTTCCTCACCAAAAACAAAAAAGAAGGAGGAGAAGAAGTGGTGTGGGGAATTGCAGGTTTAATCAGGTTTCAGGGATGTTTCCTTGGTAGAACTTTTTAAATAAAGGTTGCATCCTGAGAGAAGGCTGAAGTTATGTATCTTTGTAATGCTTAATAGTTGCCAAGTTAGAGAAAAAGAATTGCATCAATTTTCAGATATATGTAACCTCAGTAATTTTAACTGAGGGAGAATTAGGGAAGTGGTGGAAAGTTATGTCAGAAACAATTTACAAGCAAACAAATTTATTTTGATTACTTAAAATAGCTTTAAGTTGGCCTTGTGGAATAGTTGTTAGTTACTAATCCAACTAGATTCCTAAGAAGAATGTTACTTTTAAAATTCTTAAACTCACAAAGTGGTTTAGTGGATTGAGTATGAACTTTAGAGCCAGATAGACTTAGTTTAAGATTAAGGCTCTGGTATTTATGAGATGTGTGACTTTAAGCAAGTCAGTTAACCCTGACTTGCAGTGTGTAACGATCAAGAGAGCCCAGTTCAGTTTCTGGCATGAAGTTAGCTGTTACCAGATTGAGGTTTTAAAAACTGCTATATTGCTTAGATAAAAAATGTCTTAATATGTATCTTTCATCAAATTAATACAGTTAAAATTCTTGAAACTTGAGTATGCTACAACAAGAAATTCTTAAGTGTGCTACAAGAATTTTTATTCTGTTATGTACGTATATACATTGTGTTAGTGTTCTATTGTGTATAACAAATTACCACAAATTTAGGAGCTTAAAAACACAAATCTGTTATCTCATAGTTTCTGTGGATGAAGAGTCCTGATAGGGATAGCTGCAGGGCCAGTTCCTGGGTGGAACTGTGATTTCATCAGAGGCTTGATGTCCTCTTCCAAGCTCACTGGTTGTTGGTGGAATATGGTTCTTGTGATTGTAGGACTGAGGTCCCCCATTTTCTTGCTAACTCAACTGGTGAGCACTCTCAGCTACTAGAGTGAGTCGTGCTCTTAGGTCTCTGCCACGTGGCCCCCTTCATACGCCTTCTCCCAATATAGCAGCTTAGTCTGCAGGGTTGACAGAAGAGTCTCTTCAGGAAGAGTCAGTTCTTTTAAGAGCTTTCTCTGATTAAGTCAGGCTTACCCAGGATAATCTCCCCTTTGATAATATTAAAATCAACTGACTTGGAATCTTAATTACCGGAAAACCCCTTTACCTCTGTGAAGGGGTTTGCATAACTTAGGTCATATAATTCATGGGAGTGAAATACACCATATTTACATAAAGTCCTACCCACATTCCATGGAGGTATAGATTATACAGGTGATGTACACCAGAGTTAGGAATCTTGGAGGACACTTTAGAATTCTGCCTGAAACACACACCCACACAATGATTGTGATTTTATCTTATCCAGTGGGGGCATCTGGTTTTGATCAAACCCATCCACCATCTTGTCCCAGATCTGTTCTACAGTATTTGAATATAGCTTTTTCTCCATTGTATTGTTTTTCCTCCCTTTTTATAGACAGATGAGCTTCTAACCAAAGGGAATTGTTGTGAGTAGGAGAAGAATATGCTTGAAAATTATTAACTTGTGACCACACGGACCAGAGTTTGCCAGTTTTTTATTTATATATGACTGAAATCTTAAGTTTTCAGAGGATCAGATAATTAAGGAGAGGGAACCTGGCCCCCTGATTTCTGTTTTCCCAGCCAGCTACTTGTCCTAGCAGTTGGTAAGGATGCTGCTCTTATAGGCTGCTGTTGGCATGATAGTTGAAGGCAGATGGGCTTATTAAAACACTGTTCAAAGATACTTAGTGTGCAAATCATAACTAAGATTACAGAAAGAATATGAAACCTACATAAAGGAACGGACCATTTTGAGAGAGGAGAGTTGCTTTAAAGTGGTAAGAGAACTCAGCACTTTAGATTGAACTTAGATTGAGCGAGGAGTCAGGAATGCGAAATACACTCCTTCCTGTGAAATCTTTTCTTTCTCTTACCTTCAGATACACTCAAGGCTCCTACTTCTATTCTAATTTTTGCATGTATTATGGCATTGAAAGCATTATCCAATAGTTGGCTGCTTGCATCCGTTTTGTTGTTTCATTTGTTTTTACTAGAATAGGCTCCTTGAGGATAGGATCTGTGTTTTATCTTCTTTCCTAACATAACTCTTGACTTGTAGGAGGCAGTCAGTAAATACTCCTTGATTCAGCAGTTCGTGCTTTATCATAGTGGTAAAGAATATTAGCATATTCATGTTGGTAGTACGGAGATAATCTTTAGCCGATGTCCCAAACCGTTTATGTAGCAGTATAATGAGTTCTAAAGGCGCTGCCCTCAGGTGTTTGCTTTTACTCCTAGGAGGGTCTTTGCAAGTAATTTTACCATGACCAACAGGCACGGTTATCTGTTTACCAGTCTCATAGCAAACATTTATAAAGAAACAAAAATTTATAAAGTGGCTAAAGAAGGTTATTATTGCAGGATTATTAATATAGTTAGCATGCCACTTCATTATCTGTCTCTGCTACCCTCTCCTCTCTGGCTGCTTCCTTACTGACCAGCCATACTGAACATTTTGCAGTTTCCTGACTACACTGCTATCTCTTGCCGGTTACCTCTCTGTAGCACCCCATGCCCCGTGCCCATCATTATCATAGATAGATGATAGGAAGGGTATCATATTGTAGTGATTTGCTTTTGTTTCTTTTCTAAAGCATACACTTCTTGAAGGTAGGAAACCACGCCTATCTTTTTGATTTAGTGCCTGTCACAAAATAGACACTTATATGTAAGTGAATGAATGAGGCAATGAAACTCTAAAGATGAGACAGCCTTAAAGCACATGGTCTTCAGTGTAGGGACAAGCAGGTGTACAGACCGTAACCCCCAAGGGCAGTTCACACCACAGCACAGTGGAACAAGTGATGCTCATGATGTCCATTATTAAAAATGCCACAGATTTAGTATATTTACATATGAGTTTAAGAGATTAACCCACAATCAAGTGGAACATTCAAAACATGCAGTCCTTTACCTTGGGGCTTATGATCGTGTCCTTTATTCTTAGGAAGGTCGCCAGGTTTGTGTTGAATAGAGCTGAGCTCTCCACAGTCAAACCCTTGTTTATTATACCTAGGATCACTATAGAAGCTTTGCGATGCATGTTCTGAAATCTCTCGTCTTCCTTTGCATGATCATTTAGAAGGTTAAAAGATAGAATGAGAAAAAAATATTAATATTAGTCCAAGCAGACACTAATCTTTCTGTACTCAAGATGTGTGATTTTACCTCAGATTTTCTTAACACGAAGTCTTACCTATCCTTTAGGATTTCATTATTAATAGCAGAAGAAAAGATATCAATAGATGTTACGTGGGAAACATAGGAAGGACTGCGTTTTTGAGCAGTGTTATTTTTCCTTTAAAGAAAGTTTTCGTAAGAGAGATCTGTTGCCAGAGGCAATCTTTGCCATCCTTATATATTGATGTTTAAGATTGATTTTTATTTTTTTTCCAGTCTCTGCTAACAAAATCATCGGATACCTGGAAAATCCAGACTGTCCTTCATAGGCATGATTCTCCACATTGGTGTGGCTAGCCATGAACTATCCTTTTCTTCTCCGTCTTTTTCCCAGATATCTCCCGGGGCCAATTCAGCACCTCTTCCTGGCCATCCTAACAAGGTGATTTGTGAAAGGGTGAGACTTCAGAGCCTGTTCCCTCTCCTCCCAAGTGATCAGAACACTACCATTCAAGAGGATGCTCACTTCAAAGCTTTCTTCCAGGTTCTTATATATTTACCCTTTCACTATGTAGGGCTGAAAGTCACAGATACATTCTAGGTGGTTTCTAGGAAGGCTGGAAATGAAACTCTCAATATCTTCTTATTTTCTATTGTATATGTGAAGAAGTATTCTTCCTAGAGGACTTCTTTAATATAACTTTTTCACCCAGATTTTCTGAAGAACGTTTGTCTTCTCTTGAGCTGCTGTTTATTACTTGACCACTTAATATTCTTGTTTTTTGGTCTGTTGGTCTTAATCACTTGTCCTAATAAGCCAAGTTCTGTAGGAAAGTAGAAGATACTACAAAGTATATGAAATTATGTAGGAAAGGAAAAATGGAAGCATGTAAGGTTTTTTTTTTTCTCCATCCTGCACCACAGAGGTTACATTTTGTTTCCTTTGGTGAGGAAGATTGGCCCTGGACTAACATTTGTTGCCAGTCTTCCTCTTTTTTTTGGCTTTTTTCAAAGCCCCCCAAGTACATAGTTGTATATTCTAGTTGTAGGTTCTTCTAGTTCTTCTGTGTGGGGTGCCACCTCAGTGTAGTTTGATGCATGGTACTAGGTCCTCACTCAGGATCCGAAGTGGCGAACCCCAGGCCTCTGAAGCAGAGTGCGTGAATTGATCACTCAGCCACAGGGCCAGCCCCGTGTAATATTTTTTAAAGCCATCACTACTTATTTGCTGAGTGCCCAGAGTTTGATAGTAATGCACATTTCAGAGAGAAAACATGGTTACTAGCCTTCTGTGACTTTTGATACCTGTGGGTAAAATGTGATAAAAAATTTTGTTACATATAAAATGAAAACAAATTGAGGTTCAAACCTTCATTAGTTTATTAACAAGATTACTAGAATATGCTCACACAAATTATTGGCTATAAACTTTCAATCCATTACTCCTAGGGAAGCACATTTTAGTAATGGAAATCAGTATTACTATTACCACAAAGGAACTAAATTACAGAGTTGCTTCTGGATGCTTGAGTTGTCAGCCAAGGCATGTATTTGTACATGTGTGTGTAAACCTGGGGTAATGAGAGTTTCTAGTCAAAGCTAGGACTTTCGGATAGAGCCAGCTCATTTTCTGTTTGTGTAGGAGTAATGAGGTCAAGCTTAGGACTAGGTATGAAAGAGAAGTGCTTGTGATACCTTAAATTGGAGATGTGGAATTTCCGGGATAGCTGTGATCCAGGGCTCTTCAATCTGATATTCCTCCTTGGAATTTGTGCCAGATTCTCTGCTTTGCATGTATTATGTCCTTTTGTTCTTAACCCTTATAAAAATAAACTAGTCAAGGTTGGGTTTTCTGGATGAAGAAATGGGCTCAGAAAAGCTCACTCAGATTACATATCTAGTTACTGGCAGAGCAGAGACTCAAATTCATTTTATGTCTACTATATAATACCACCTTTAGATATCAGTGGGTATTTCTGTAAACACAGTGTAGTATATGTTGAGACATACTTGTCTGTATTGAATTGAGCGGCATATTGCTTTTGATAAGCTTTAGTCTGCAATAGCTTGATATTTAGTTGTAAACCAATATAGCTAAGGAAGAGATTGATTTAGTACCTTCACTACTACCACCACTAAATAGTTATTTGACACTCTCCGTGTTCTCCATACTTCCTTTGAGTGTTCAAGCATTAACTCAATATTAACTTTAAACTCAGACAGCTGCCAAATTCAGTAGATTTAAACACGATTTGAAAATAAAACAGGGGCCGGCCCCATGGCTGAGTGGTTAAGTTCGTGCGCTCTGCTTTGGCAGACCAGGGTTCGGATCTTGGGCACGGATGTGGCACTGCTCATTAGGCCATGTTGAGGTGGCATCCCACATGCCACAACTAGAAGGACCCACAACTGAAATATACAACTATGTACTGGGGGGATTTGGGGAGAAAAAAAAAAAGATTGACAACAGTTGTTAGGTCAGGTGCCAATCTTAAAAAAAAAAGGTTAGAGCAAGTTATTGTTAAATTTTTTTTTTTTAATTTTATTTTTTTCCTTTTTTCTCCCCAAAGCCCCCCAGTACATAGTTGTATATTCTTCGTTGTGGGTCCTTCTAGTTGTGGCATGTGGGATGCTGCCTCAGCGTGGTTTGATGAGCAGTGCCATGTCTGCGCCCAGGATTCGAACCAACGAAACGCTGGGCCACCTGCAGCAGAGCACGCGAACTTAACCGCTCGGCCACGGGGCCAGCCCCAGTTATTGTTAAATTTTTATTTATAACCCTAATTAAACTTAAATCTTGGGGCCGGCCCTTTTCTTAATCTTGGCTTTCCCCCAGGTTCCTTCTGTCCCAACTTTTTCTACTTTTTCTTCCCTTTGGAATACTCCATTTTAAACAGACTCACTTACCTCTTCCATTCTTTTCCTAAACACCCTCTTTACTTCCTTAGCTGAACCTAATCTCTTTTCAAAGGACATCGTTTGCCCTGCAGCCTTTAGGGGTAAAGAAATTATTGATTTTTTTTCCCACTCCAAGCGGGGGATTGGGTATGTGGCTAGTAAGTGGGATAGTCATAAAGAAGAAGGAAAGTGTTGATATTCTCCTAGTCCTTACTCGGTTCAGGATCCTCCTGGATCCTTGTTTCCAACCATCGATCATCTTTGAACAAAAATTTCATCCAGGTTTTGAGCTCTTTTTGTTATTCATCTCCACTGTTTATCAGTTTTGTCACTGTCCTTCTTTATCAAAGACTTTTGCACTTTGCTCCCCCACTCCCCCCACCACAAGGAAGATTTGCCCTCAGCTAACATCTGTGCCAGTCTTTCTCTTTAGTGTTTGGGCTGCCAGCACAGCATGGCTCCTGACAGCAGTATAAGTCCACACCTGGGAACCGAACCTGGGCTGCCAAAGCATAGCACACTGAACTTAACTGCTAGGCCACCAGGGCTGGCCCTGCCACTTTTTTTTTTACTTACTTGTTTATATTGTATTACTCCTAGTCAAAATGTTTCAAATTTTGCATGCTTTAATTTTTAAAATTATGAAATATTTCTTATATGAAAGTTGTAAAAGTATAAAGCAGACACATGTATAAGAAAAAAAAAATACCATCCAACTTAAGAAATCAACCATTACCAATACTTTGGAAGCTTTCATGTAACCTTCATAGTCCCTTACCTGCATCTTGGGAAACTTCTGCTGAAATTTGTTTAGTATCCCTTTGCTTCTCTGGTTTTAGCACATATAGTATCTCTCAATACTATACTAAGTTTCTGTACTTAATATAAAAGGTATCATGCTTTGTGTATTTTTGTCATTTGGGGAGTCATCCATATTGATGCATGTGGCTGTGTAGTTGATTCATTTTCCTGCTTTAAAAGTATTCCATTTATATGAATATACTGTAGTTTATTCCCTCTCTTCTTTATGGACATTTGTGTAGTTTCCCATTTTTTACTATTGTTACAAGGACTGCTGCCATGAATATTCTTGTGTGTGGTTTCCTTGTGTACATTCAGTTGGTATTTTAATGTTTCTGTAAAAGTGATGCTTTTGTGTATTTACTGCTCAGAATAAATAGAGGTGTGGGCATATTTGCATCTCTATAGTAAAAACAAGCCTATATTTAAAATTAGAATTAAAGTGCCTCCTATAATTGTTACTAAATTTTAGAAAATAAGGTATAATTAGCTTACAGAAAGATTCACCCTTTTAGTGTACAGGTCTGTGAGTTTTAACAAATACATTCAGATGTGGAAGCACCACCACAATCAAGATATAGAACAGTTTCATCACCCCAAAAAACTTCCTCTTATCTCTTTGCTGTCAACTTCTTACAGTTTTAAGATTAGCAATTTCTGTACTATCAATCAATTCAGTGATTGTGATTGAAGATGGTATGCTTTCATAAAATAGTCAGATACATTGTGGGGAACTTGAATTTCATGTCCGGCACAACCCTTGATCTCAGGGGGTGGCTGGTGGGGGAGAGGGGTGTATCCATCTTAATGACAGCTATCTGATAACTTATTTTGTAAATTGACTAAGTTAATTAGGTGGTTGAAATTTTGACAATTTGTACACAGAAAAATATACTAGGTTTCTGAAAGAGAAGACTAATTATTGTAAAAATATCTATTCTCCAACAAATTTATAGACAATAAAAATTTCAGCCAAAATAATCAGAATTTTTTATTCTAGAATTTTTCAGAGTTATCCTTAAATTCCTAAGGAAGATTATCGAAGACAAGATGGGGGAAAAAACTTTCAAAAATTGTTGTAAGAGGAGATATGTCATAATAGCTACTAAATCATATTATGAAGAAATAGCTCCATGTTCTTAGACACAGTGGATGTTTTTCAGCCTTTATCTTACCTGACCTTCCAGTCGAATCCTTGAAACTCCATTCCACTGGCATCTACCACTACATTCCACTCTCCTTGCATCAACTACTCAGCATAAAATATTAGAGTTTCTCAGGGTTCAGTATTGGGCCTCTTTTTCACTGTATAAACTATTTTGGGAAATTTTGTCCGTGCCTGCAGCTTCATTATTTACCATCTGTCTATATACCAAAAACTCCTAAATTTGTATTTCTAGTCTCTGAGCTTCAGCTATCTGCAGAACAACTCCACATGGGTATCTCAGAGAGATCCCTTGATTTCAGGCTGTTCTTACTATCTTTTCTATTTTCATTGGTTTTGTGTTTATGCTTTGTATTTTTGTTGTTGTTGTTGTTTTTGTTTTTTGTTTGTTTGTTTGTTTGTTTGTTTTTTTAGAGGAAGATTAGCCCTCAGCTAACTACTGCCAGTCCTCCTCTTTTTGCTGAGGAAGCCTGGCTCTGAGCTAACATCCGTGCCCATCTTCCTCTAGTTTATATGTGAGACGCCTACCACAGCATGGCTGCCAAGCAGTGCCATGTCCGCACCCAGGATCCGAACCAGCGAACCCCGGGCCGCCGAGAAGCGGAACGTGCGAACTTAACCGCTGCGCCACCGGGCCGGCCCCTATGCTTTGTATTTTTAATTTGAACCATTGATCTGCA